ATTAGAAAATAAAACAAAACAATTACCCAAAACAACATTATGTACATTATAATATAACATTTATTGTCGAAAATAATATTGAAAACAAAAAGTGTTGTGTAATGGTGATATAGATACCAAGTTTCATCTTCTTTTTTATCTAAGATTTCCAATGTGTTATGTAAGTAGAAATTAGTGTTACAAAGTCCATAGACATATTTCTCAAGAAGTTGACAACATCAATCACGGTGTCATGGTTTATTTTCCTTTATGTAAGATCTGAGTCAACAATACTTTGAAAACCAAATCACATTGGCCGGTTGAACTAAAACCAGTCACATCATCGGTTTGGTCATAAACAAAAAACTGTTTGTCACTAAACTAAGAACCAATCACATCATCGGTTTGGTCAAGTGTTCTTAATCTCTAAAGTATCTATAATCTTGGGTTTCATGTTATGTTTAATGAAAGTTCAATTTAGTGATTGTTGAACGATAGATATCAATATGATGTAATTACATTATTTTAAACATCTATATCCATGGAATTGAATTCCACCATGATGATCCATGTTTGATCTAAAATCCAATCGTAGGTAAATGCGAAATCGGTTGTGGAATTGAATCAATTAGCTATGGAATTATTAATTGTAATGAAAAATATTACAATTGAACCTATTATTAAATAAAAGTAAAAACATTTTGATAAACTTGCTTGGTAAGAAGTATCATATAATGGATAAGCTAGTTAGTTAAGGTGGGGTTGTGTTCATGACTAATAACAAGAATGATTATGGTTATTCATCATATATATCAAAAAGTGGAGAAGATCAAAAATTTTATGTACATGCCAAAATTTTGAAAATCAATCAACTATGAATGATCACGCTGGTCTTTCAAGTCAAATACCCATCTTCAAAACATCTTCAATCATTTGAGCATCTTGATGAACTCTTTCCTTGTTCCAGCCATAACATCCATCCTGCTTCCCAAAAGATCAATCATCTTGTTCATAAAGTTATTTGAAAACATGCGTTTTTAGTTCATCTTGAAAAAATATTTCTTGTTCATCTGGATGTTGGGTCACTCCTTTGAAAGGTTGAAGGATAGGTTCATCGTCATCTTGTAACTCTTCTAAACCTTCAATGTAAACATCTGGTTGATCTTTACATTGAATGTAAACAATTAGCTTACAAATAATTTTAGTATAAATAGCAAACACATATAATGTAAACATGTTTTAGCCCATTCAAATTCGTATCATTTTCATCATTTTTTTGGGTTTGTATGTTTTACTCAACTCTGAAGACTTATACACATTTTTTTTATTTCATCAATCAAAAGAGTTAGAGAAAATGTCAAGAAATGAAGAAACTTTATGCTGTTATGATTTGTGACATTATCAAGTGCAACTTGTCATTTGTTGAATCACAATGCATAACATTAAATTTTATGAGTTCATTGTTGTTCTTGGAAAACAAGTTGTTTGATGAAAATCCTCACAAGGTTCTTGGCACACCTATTTCACAGTTTGGGAGTACGCACACAAGTTGTTTGATAAAAATCCTCACTGAGTTCATTGTTGTTCTTGGCCGAAGCAGACATAAATGATGATTAAAGGACTTCAATATGATGAATCTTTTTCTTAATTCCTAACTTTGTTCTTGATTAGCACATGAGATGATGCGAAAGAAGGCGGATGAGCAACTTAAAAAGATTTCCATTGATCATGAACAGAGGAAATTGCAGCTTGAAGAACATGAAAAGGAACTGAGAGCACTTGAAGCTAGGAACGAAAGTGAGCAAAAGAAGTTTGACAATGAGAAGAAAATGGTACATTTTTGCAGAATGAATTGGAGATTTTGGAGCAGAAGAAAGCAGATGAGAAAATGTTGAAATTGGCTGAATACACTTGTACAGAGAGAAAAAGAGAAACTTCACCACGAGATCATTTATGTCTTAAATATCAGGTAGCAATCCAATTGATGTTATTGATCCTGATTGGGAGGTGTATCTTTTAGTTGAGAAGAAAAGTGAAGAGTCACAAAAACTTCTTGGTTTTTCAGCTCTTTATTGATTCTTTCATTACCCTGATAGCCAGAGGTTAAGACTTGGCCAAGTATATTGTTAATATAGTTGGTTGCTTAAAAAAAGTATGTGTTAAGACTTTCAAAAGCTATAAAGTTGGTTGCTCAAAAAGTATGTGTTAATAGCTCTTGAAACTAATTAAAACAAATGATTTTCTTAATATGTTATTGTTTTTGGATGTTTGAGGTGGTTGTAATCTCTGTTGAGTTTGTAGATTTATAAACTTTTCACGATATGAGTTTGCTGAGATTTTGGGATTTATTTAGTTGAATGTTAACCTGTGTGTAACATCCCTATTCGTAGGTATGGAATTTCGGGGTTTTATGCTTATTGTAGGACCTACTTGATGAGTTGGGAGGCCCCAACTCGTCGTGTAGAAACCAAGGAGGCCGCACAATTTTACAAATCTACTCGACGAGTTGCAGGGCTCAACTCGACGAGTTGGAGCTGAGTGTGAAAACCCTAGTTTTTAGGGTTTGCACCCTATTTAAAGGACCTTAAGTCCTTTACCCCGCCTCCCTCATCACCTTATCACCCAGAGACAAACCCTAATCGAGTTACCTTCCATATAGAGAGTGTGTAAAAGGCTAAGAGTGTGTGTTGGTGCATTCCTTGAAAAGTAAAGAGCTTGGAATAGGAATGAGTCTATAGATCCGACATCCATTCAGTTGTAGCAGCCATTTGAAGGTAAAAAGTCATTACATTGATCACTTGTTTGTTAGATCTCTCCATTAGAGAGTTTATGGCCATTTCTAGCTTCTTCTTGAGTCATTACTGGTTTTGAGCATGCTTTGAAGCTAAGACTTCAGATCTGGACACTACTAGGCCCTTTAAGCCTAAGGGCTCAAGCTTTATCAAGCTTTGGCCAATCTTCATGCCTTACACCCCTTGTTGAGCCTTGTTCTGGCAAAATTAGCCCCTAAATGCCATGCATAGATGTAAAGCTTACAACTTTACGTGGTATCTCAGACCTAGAAGGCAAGATCTAGAGTTTGGGGCCTTAGTCTCGCTTAAAAGCGTCTGAATGAGAGAAAGGGCTGAAGGAACTCGACGAGTTGGTTAGCCAACTTGACGAGTTGATATTCTGGACACTATGCAAACTCGACGAGTTGGTGAGACAAACCGGCGAGTTGATACGAATTTTCCCGATTTTCTGAGAACAGGAGGAACTCGACGAGTCGCATAGATGCACTCGACGAGTTGAGTCAACATGGACTATTGACTTGAGTGTTGACTTTTTAGGGTTTGGTCAATTTGTGGACTTTGGAGACCATGGAGGGGTAAAATGGTATTCCACCCTTTCTGAGATTTAGCAGAGGAGTTAGCTTAACATCTTTGGAGTTGTTAATGCAAATTGTTAATTAGAGATGATTGTGATATATGTAGGCAGAGTCTTGACTGACAGTTTGAGTACGAGACATACTTGCTTTACTTACGAGGCGAGTCTTCTCACTATACTTACCTGAGTGGTATTTACTGTGCGACCGGGGGGTCATATTTGAGTTACTGACCGGAGGGTCTTATGTGCTTATACTGAGATATGTGATATTATGCATTTTGTCTTTGTGATTTATGTTGTATATTATTATGTGCTTCTATTGAGATAGGACCGGAGGGTCCAAACCAAGTCGTGAGACCGGAGGGTCTTCACTGAGATACAGGACTGGAGGGTCCAACCGAGCCGTGAGATCGGATGGTCTTCACTGAGACACATGACCGGAGGCTCCTTATCGAGATATAGCCATGAGAGGCTAATTATTGTGTGTGGTATTTTGTGGAACTCACTAAGCTGTGTGCTTACAGTGTTGTGTGAAATGTGTTTCAGGTACATCTCAGGATTGTGGGAAGGCACCGACATGATTGTACACACCAGCTTGTTGATTTATGTTCTGAGGAATCTGGGATACGTGACAAACATTTTTATGTTCGTGTTTTGAAACATTTATAAATTGAGTATGAGAGATGTTACACTGTGTTTTATGTGGAATCAAAAATGAAAAAATTATTTGGAAATCTAGAGTGTTAGACTGTGTAACATGGTTAGGTTCTCGTGCTCTGTCTTCCTCTCCTATTAAGTTGGTAGGATTTATAAAACCTTTAAACAAAAAATTATATTAGCTTATTGTGGTTTGATTAGTTTTTGATGAAATAAAATAAAAATTAATTCATATAGACTCGAATAAGCAATTTTATATAAACTAGAGAAGGTACCCATGCCTTGCATGGGTTGGGAAGGGATGTATTTTTTCCTTGATTGTGTCATGGATGCATCAATATAAATGGTTCATGTGGTCTTTGTTTTACCAAACCATTACATAAATGGTCCGATGGTCCCTGTGGTGGCGGTAAATTGAGACATAAATGGTCCTTTTTATAGTTAACTGTTACATAAATGGTATTTGTAATAGTAAACTGTCCCAGACTCATAGGGACCATTTATGTATGATTTAATGTATACAATATAAAAATAAAATTATAAAATATAAAAACTTTTAGTCATTCGACTCCTTCAAGGAGTGGAAACACACACACACACGTCCCTCCTCTATGAATGAAAATCAGCCAATGATAAGGATTCACATCCATACAATGATAGCATTGTACTTTGAGAAAGCAACTCATCCCTACGAAAAGAAGCGGAAATTGGTTTGTATCGTTTGAATAAATAAAGATATGATGCCATAACAAACAAATAAACGATAACAAACAAATAAACAACATTGCTATTTTCTCAAATTAACTCTTAAAAATGGATTTTCAAATAGTGAAAATTAATTTGAAATGAAGTTGGGTCATGATATACTCTTTTCCCCTTAATTGCTTTTATAAAATTTTAATTACTTTGTTATATTTACACCAATAGTTTAAAACTACAAAAACAATATTAGAATGCAAATTTATTGAAAACATACCCAAACTCTCGAAAGTGGAATTTCACCAATTCAAGAGCTGTTGCACAATCACAAATCTTGATCTTTCTTCCTTAACAAAGAACATACAACCTGCAAAAAAGGAAGCAAATATCAGTGATTAATTGGCTAATTTGGTCAAAAAGAAACCTTGGAAATAGTAGCGACAGCACCTAAAAAAACTCCTATATTTACCTGTTCCAGTTTTTTTATCCCAATACTGTCATGTTTTGTAGTTCAAGTAGAACTATAGTATAAAAAAATAGAAATCAACCGTTGTCAATTGACTGAATTCTTTTGAACATATTCACAAATTCATGTAATGTTACTCTAGAACAATGTGACAACAACTTTTTACCCCAATAGTTTCATACCAAAAACAAACATTACAAATTTAAAAAAGAAACAAATAAACAATTGATAATACCATTTGTATCTTAACAGAGTATAAATAATGTGTTAACATAATTATTAAAGAGCTGAAATTACCTTTACTTATGGGCACATCAGGGAGACCATACCATAACTCTCTCTTTCTCACCTAAGCTGCAGGTAAAGCTGAACCAGTCTGTGGACAATGTTAGAAACCATCCAGGGACAATTTGTTCTAGTGAAGTATCATCTTTGTTCTGCTCTTTTAGCAATGTCATTAAGTGTATGAATTATATCCTCCTCTATTTGAGAAGCAATGGGAGGTTTATTGAAGGGATATAGAGGGAGGTTTGGAGAAGAATAAAAGCGGTGATGCTCAGTGGAAAAGCATAGGAATATAACACGTGTTTTGGACACGTATCCACTCATTGAACATCGAAAAGGAAGACGAAGATGGTGGATCTGCTGATGGCACCACGTGTAAAGGGTTGCACGGTAAAAGAGATAAAAGAAAAGAAAAAAAATTGGTCCAATGGGATTAATTTACTGTTCCTAAAGGAACAAACATGAAACCAACACATAAAAGTCCCAATAAGTAACGACAAAAAGACTTGCCCTTTATTTGTGGGAGCAAATCCACAATGCTTTCCAATACTACCCTTTGATCTACTATGTCATATTTTGTGTTAAATTTAGTTTTACTAAACTGCCCACTTTGCCATCTGCCTAACCCATGAAGACATTTTCCAGAATAGTACATGATAGCACCTGCAAGTCAGTGGCAAAGTTGTAAATAATGGAATGTATGATGATCATACAAGAAAAAATATGGAATTGATCAATTGAATTATTTCACCTGTTAACTTTTTGGGTTGGATGCCTTTAGATTCCACTGTCTTGATAAGCCTTTTGAACAAAACAACACTAAGATGTGAAACATCTTCAAACCACCAATCCGATTCCGATGTTTGGATTCTTGCACCTGTGTCGATTCCATTCCAGAGAATGCTACCTCCAGGGCTTTATAAGCAACCATACATCATCATCATTGGCCATCCAAACAAACTCGGGTCTGTGCAAACCATTGTTGACATGGCATTCAAGCATTTACTGATTATTTGGAGATTGTCACTTTTTGTTACAATGGTTTCACAACTTTGAAGAGCAACCATGCAATCCTTCCAGTTTGTTAGTATATTTTTATGGATGTAAGTCTCTGTTTTTGAGAATAAGTTATCATTTCCATATTCATCAGTCATTTCAAGATAATCTGACATATGATACACCATAACTATATTTGTAGGTGTAAGTTCAATATGAACACCATAACAGAAGTTAGATGCAACCAGAAATGAGGTGGCACCACCAGGAATCTCCTCCAGGATGATGGTGGAAGTACCTTTATTGTTATTTTGAGCTTCTTTCATCAACTTTTCTATTTTCCCACATCTTGATAGTAAGGGAAACTGGAGAAATATGCAGTTTAAAAAGTTTGGTATTAATGATTGACACCAGTTCACACAGGGTGAAATTAAACATTGAAAGTTAGAAGAAAAAGCACACCTTGTGAAGATGGAAGTTTACTCCATCTATGAAAATGGTGAGATCACTTGGCAAACCTGCATTACAAAACCTGGCACACAAATATGTAACTTCTTTAAGAGACTCAGATACTGATTACCAAATGATCAAAAAAGCAAGTGAATTTGGAAATCATATAATGTTAAGAGGAGTAAAAGAGAAAGAGTTTACCAGTCATTGTCTTCATTATAGAATTCCAAAGCCCTTTAACCCTTTATTTAACTAAGAATTCCTTTACAGCCCATAAAATTAGGGCAAATTACATTGCAATCTCCATACTTCAATGGCTATATTTTCAATACCTGTATCAAAAAACCATAATTCGCAAAGTTTTTTTATAATATAAGTCAATTATTTGAACATTCAATCAAAAGAAACACATGAAAATTTGATGATAATTAGACACATATCCACAAACATCACATAAATCACATCTCAATTCTAAGCCATCACACTATAAGTAAACAAATTAGGTCAAATAAGCGTAGTATTGTTTACCTTCCAGGTCGAAAAAAATTGAAATATCAGGTTACTCCTCATGTAAATAGAAATGAATCCAATTGGACCAAAAGAAGCCCCAATCGATATTACAGGAGGTGGCGGTGATAGAGAAGAAGCAAAAAGGAGACGTAATCTATAGCACCGACCAGTACGAAACCACCGATTCTAATTGCCAAATAAGGCGATGCTGCCCATTCAAGGGACGGTGGAGGTGGCTGTCGATGGCGGAGGCTGTGGCAGGCAGTTTCGCTGGAGATGGGTAAGAAATTAGAGAGAATGGCGAAAGGGAGAGGGAGGGGTGGAATTGAAATGAGAGAGAAGGTTCGAGAGGAAATCAATTAATGGAGAGGCGGTGATGAGCGATCATCTGTGCCCGTGTGTAATTGGAAGAATGGGGAGGTAGGAGCAGTGAATACCACGTATACCACCAGAAAGGTACACCGAATGAGTAAAAGAAAAAAACAAAAAAAAAAAAATTGTCCAATAGAAAGGAAGTACTGTTGGTAAAGGAACTCAAATTTAATATGATTATAAATTATAAATTATTTTTTTCTAACTTATTTGAAACTTTTTTTTTCCATGACCACACTTACAATTCACCCTTTTACCTTTCTCAGTTTAAGACATTTATAATTTTGATTCTGGAGCAGATGAAAGAATGTTTAAGTTGGCTGAATACACTTGTATAAAGAGAAAAAGAGAAACTTCACCACAAGATCATTGATCTTCAAAAGAAGCTTGATGGCAAGCAAAGACTGGAGCTAGAGTTCAAACTAATGGAAGGAGCCATGGAAGTAATGAGACATGAATCATTAAGATGTTGATTCAAAGAAAAAATTTGAGTCCATTGAAAAAGATCTGAAAGAAAAAGAAGAATTTGAGAACATTGAAGCGCTTAATCTAACAAGAATGGTCTTTATAGCTATTACTATTAAGTTGATTATTTTCCTTGATGTTCCTGATGTACAATTGACTTGTTTACAACCCAAATCGGTAACCAAAGTGTGGTTTTTGTCATCCTATTAAACATATTCAACGGATTTGGTTAAAAGTTGAATATGAAAAACCCAAAATGTTAAACTTATTATTAAAATTTTATGCTTATTTATTTATATTCTTTGGATTAAAATTAGAGTTATTAAATTTGAATAATTTTTTTAATAATTAATGGTACCCGATTAATCCCCGCCTAGCCGATTAATTCCTTGACTCCAGTCGACCGCCGAGCTACCGTCGAGCCATTTCTGCAACCTTATGTAAAACTAAAACCAACCTTAGTCATTTATAAATTACACATGCTATTTTACTTTTAAGTTGTTATTAGATGAGTCATTATTCATTATACCACCCTTTTTATGCACAAGCATATAAAACGATATAATATGTAAAATACAATTGATTAAACCAGAAAGTAGGATATTCTTTGTTTTCTTTGTTTATAGTTTTTGGATCTTTGACTCGACTATTAATAAGGTTCCTGGGCTACAACACATTTGACTTAAAACATGGGGTATAGACCACCCCCTTGGGGTATAGCCACGGAGGTGCTTCTGCGAACCTCGATAGCAGCTCTGCGGAATTGTTCATCGAGTTTTTTTTCTTCATAAATACCCCTGATTTAATTACGATTTTGTCATTTCGCTGAGCTACAGTGGATTCTGCGGAGCCCTCGGAGCTTACCTCCGCAGAAAGCATCTCTATATGAGGAAATCTGATTTTTTATGACTAAAATTTTATATTTTCCACCACCCCCCCCCCCCCCCCCCCCCCCCCCAAAAAAAAAAAAAATTGTCTATTAGTGACAAAATCCCAATATAAAATATTATAAAAAAGCATTACAAAAGGTGCTAAAATAGTTTTTTATTGATTTGACATAATAAATAACTTAAAATTAGTGAAAAGAGTAAATTAAACGAATGGTTCTTATGGTTTGGGTTAATTTGCGCGCTTGGTCCCTAACTTATTTTTTTAACTCAGAAGGTCCCTACTATTTGTTTTTGTTACGCGCTTGGTCCCTGCTGTTTGTTTTTGTTACGCGCTTGGTCCCTGTCTTACCTAAAAAGACTATTATTTAAATAGGGAAAAATGATGGGGCAGGTAAGGTAAGGTGAAGGGGGGTGGGGTTGGGGTGTAATTATTTAAATAAATTAAAAAATCAAAGACAAAATAGTCTTTTTAGATAAGAGAGGGACCAACCGTGTAACAAAAACAAACAGTAGGGACCTTCCAAGTTAAAAAAATAAATTAGGGACCAAACGCGTAAATTACCCTAAACTATAGGGACCATTCGTGTAATTTACTCTTAGTTAACTAATAAAGACCAAAATGCTTCTAGTCCAACGGTATTCAGTGTTGTCCTTCTTCATTGAGGTCGAAAGTTTAAGTCTCATTGTGGACACAGGTGAAACAATTTATGAGTGGTTTAATATATTTGCCGCTATAAAAAGGAAAAGTTAACCAATAAGGATTATTCTGTAACATTTTTAAACACGCATCTTCCACCATATATAAAACTCTTTCTTAAATCTCAGAACCATTAACCACAACATAAAAACGAGAAATTTCAAATTAAACCAAACATATGACGAGACGAGATATGTAAATGGTTGTTTTACATATGCAACCTTAAACCCCGGCCCTACACACAAACACTTTCCCTCCTTAAGTTGTCTTACAATTTAATCAGTCATTTAACATTTTTATAATAATGTTATAGTAAAATATTAATTAATACAACTGTTTTATATATTATCAATTATGTTTTGGCAAAGGATTCAATTTCTTGTTTATCTCTTCAAGTTTCTTCATCCTCGCCATTTCACTTTCAGTAATAAGCTGCAAAATTTAATATAAAACATATCTTGTTAATCAGGGACATAATTATATCATGAAATATATATACTTAATTACTGTCAATAAAGATAAAAGTAAAAACGGCAAATAAAATATATGAAAAGAACCCACTCCTAACAAGACACTAGGCGGGAACAAACAAAAAAAAAAGGATTACTTAGATCAAGTAAAAATAATAAAACAAAGTAAAATCACCTCCATTAATCTGGTTACTAGTTGAGCTTTCTCCTTGTTTTTCTCATTGAATGCCTCAACTGCTTCTTTATATTCTTTTTCCTGCAAATGATTCACATCACATTTCACTGAATAAAATCAGAAAAATAAAAGATATACGATAATTATAGCGTCTCACCTTTTTAAGTAAACCCTCATCCCACTCTTGGATGACTGGATCTTATAAATAAACTTATGCAGTTTATCAAATATATGATTCATGTGTATGAGTGATTCGGCTATACTTAGTGCTCGTAAAAATTATCAAGTCTAACTATAATAGCTGCCTTAACTAAACAATAATATTCTAAAAAAGATGTATATCAAATAAAAATAAAAGATATACAATAATTATAACGTCTCACCTTTTTAAGACAATTTTGTCCTAACGACTTTAGTTCTTTATTGACCAAGTCAACCTTCTTTCTTACATTTGCTCCTTCCTTCCAACTTGGATCATCTAGGGATTCAAGATCCTACCATAAGAATTTTCATATTTATTAATCCAAACAATAATTACAATATTAATCTTATACAAAAATTCAGAAACTAAAATTCGATGCATATTAAAAAAAAAAAACCGACAGTCTTACAACAAAACTTATTTAAATGATTAGAAGTTACCATCTTAGAATAGTGGCATGATAAGACTAATAATTAACCACATACTATTTTCATTATTAATTACATGGAAAAGTTTTACTTACATTGCGAATTTCAGCCAACTTTTTGGTTTCTTGTTCAACGCGACTTAGTTGAGCTTGAACTCTCTCCTTGACCTCCATCTTCTTCTTTGTGATCTCTTCTTCTTTAGCACGAAAAGCAAACAAGGCTGATTTGGAAAGCTCATCATCACAGTCGATCAATGGGTTATCCTGACTTGCCCTTAGTCCCAAGCTCTTCATGCGAATCATCTTTTGAGATGATTGCTGTTGATCCAATGGCAATTGTGTAGGTATGCATGCCATTTTTTCAACAATAATGGACGCTCTTTTCTTTTGTAGGGATGATGGGTCTCTTTTGCTTGGCTTAGAGATGCTCAATCTATGTTGGGTTTTGAAAAAAAGGCCACCAAATATAGTAAGAGACTAGCTTTCTTGACAACAAATATGAGGTGGAAAGCCAAAAAATGTCCAACTAATTACGTATTTTATAATACAAAGGGAGAAACCACATCATGGTTATTTATCTTTTTATTTGTTAATGGAGATATGGGGACATATATATGTCATTGTCATTTTGTAATTCGAGTATTCAAAACTTTAAAAGTGATTGTATTATAACTTATAAGACGATTGTATAATTTCGATATCAAAGTTACATCCTAATCCAATAACCTTTTGATTAATTTAATACTAATATGTTAAAGTAGTTAAAACCTTACGTGTTAAGGCTCATAAACTTATTATTGTATTTATTTATGTCAAAATGACAATCTTTATCTTTATACTCTACTTAATACGCTCACATATTTTCTAAGCATATGAAGAAAATACGGTTTGCACTTTGCATGAAGAGGGAGTATGGTCAAATCTTCTTCTAAATAAAAAGAAAAGACAATGTGGGGTGTAAGCTTTTTTAATAGTGGAATTCCGTCGATGTCATTGTCACTTTGAGAATATAAATTCAAAAACTATTGCCGGGTAATAATATGTCATTTGCATATTTAAATACATTATTATTATACAGATATTGATTAAAATGATGATA